GAGCTACGCGGTTCAGAGAGGTGCGGTGACTTGCTCCAGGTCACACAGCTGCTAAAGGGCAGAGGTGAGGTTTGAGCCCAGGTCTGTGCGTTTCTCTATGACTCTGCTGCTTCTTAGAAGCTGAGAGCAAACCCACCAACTGAAAGACCCAGAATTGGGAGAAGCTAGGGCTTCCAGGATCCCCAGCAGGAGACTCTTGGGGCAGAGGAGGCCCCGAAGCCCCAGGGAGGCCTCTGGCATCAGGGGGAAAGGCCTTTCCCTCCCAGAGAGGCAGAGGGCCACCTGGGCAGAGGGCCACCTGGGCAGGTGTCAGAGCTCACCCGGCTCTGATGGGGCCTGGAGGACACTATATCCAGCTCTGCTGCCAAAAGGAGGGTCTCGATTAGATTCATTCATTCATTCATTCAACAACTACAATCTTGGAAGAGGGTCCTCATGACATGCTGTGCCCTAGCACTGCCTTTCCTCCTGGTGCCAATTCATTGTCTCCTCTGGGAAGCCCTCCCTGATACCCACAGTTAGTCAGCCCTCCCACTTTGTGCTTTTACTGCACTCTGGGGGGTCTCTAGGGGGTCTCTGGACTGTCATTGCTGATTTAGGTGCCACAGTCCACCCCCAGGAGCCTGTGAGAGGACAAGTCTCCAGAGGGCAGGCAGGGGTCCACCGTTGTCACCTCCCTCTGTCATCTTCCCTGACAGGCTGGGGCTCCAGGGCGGGCAGGGCTGTGTCCATCTCTCCTGCTGTTGCTTCCTCGGAGCCCAGAACACGAAGGGCACAAATTGGAATGAAAAATACTGGATGGAAGAGAGAGGGAGGGAGGAGAGCACAGTAAGGAAGGGAAGGCGGGCAGGGGAGAGAAATGCCAGGGCCTCGCATGGGCACAGGTGGAGCCAGGAGGCAGAGGGGAACCTGGAGAGTCACGGGTTCTTGGGGTGGGGGGAGGGGAGCAGAAAGATTTGAACATTAAAAATGGTCCACGGTGACCTGCGACATTTTGCTCTCCCAGGAGCAAATGACTCTGCACCCGGGTCGGCTGAGAGCTCTTCAGAGTCAGCTGGAGGGAAACCTTCCTCGTGAGGCCTGGTTCGTGCTGAGCCGCGTGCACCCGGATTCCTGGCACAGGGAGAGTCCCAGCCCCTCGGCCCCGGCCGAGAGCAGAGGTCCTCACCCAGCCTGGGTCTGGGTGTCTGGCCTGCCCAGCTGTGTGACCTTGGGCAGTTCACGCAGACTCGCTGAACTTCAGCCCCGCCACCGGGAGGGGCCTGGACTAGGGGGTCTCTCCCCCTCGTTGTTTTGCTGCTTTTCCAGCACCCTCCGCACCTCTGGCCCAGCTCTGAGGTCAGGCCTCACCTCTCCCAGGAAGTCACCCAGACTGCCCCCTCTCCGGACTTAGCAGCTCTAGGTGCTTGGCCTGCGGGTTGAGTGCGGGGCTGTGAGGTCAGACCAGCTGGGTCCAAATCCAGGCCACTCCCTGGTCTAGATCCTTGCTGCTCAAAGTGGTGACCTGCGGCAGTGGCATCGATGGGCAGTTATAGAAACTCAGGGCCCACCGCAGACGTGTAAGGAACCTGGCTCTGCACTTGAACGAGAGCCCAAAGTGGGGTGTGGGTGCACGTGGGTGTGAGAAGCCCTGGCCCTGCAGGTGTGGGAGAGACAGGTGGGACAGGTGTGGAGAGACAGGTGGGGGGAGACAGGTGTGGGAGAGACAGGTGTGGAGAGACAGGTGGGGGGAGACAGGTGGGGAGAGACAGGTGGGGAGAGACAGGTGGGGAGAGACAGGTGGGGGGGCAGGGGGAGGAGCCCAGCAGGTGGCCTGAGGGGCGATTGGCCTGCCTTCTCCTAGGGGGTCCAGTGTTGCCAGGGTGGCCTCAGCTCTCACAGACGCATCTCCACCCGGCAAAGAACAAAAACTGCTACAAACACAGTTCCTGGCTGTGTGACTTGGCCCCTTCACTGCACCTCTCTGGCCTGCAGTCCCCACTCCTGTAAAATGGGAGAATAACAGCCCCCCACCCCCGCCCGCCCAGGGTTGTTGTGAGGATGGAGGGAGGTAATTTGCATAAAGCAGGGGCCATGCGGCCACATGGGGGCCTGCCCCTGCTGTTCTCTCTGCAGGAAGCTCCTCCCGCCCTGCCCCCTCCTCCCTCGGGCCCTTCCCAGCCTCCCTCCCGAGGTCCCCCGTGGCCTCCCCAGACCTGGCTTTTGTTTCTCCTCATTGTTTCTTTTCCTCCATGGCTCTTCGCATACCATGTGAATTTTTTTTTTGGTTCATTTACTCGTTTTGTTTGGCTGTTTCCCCAACTGTGCCCAAGCCTCTCTGAGGGCAGCACCCTGTCTGTCTTGTTCCCAGCTGTGTCCTGGTGCTCAGCACCCAGGGGAGCCTGATAAGTTCCTGCGGGATGAAGCCTGGATGAGGAGTGGGACTGGGCTGTATCAGTCAGGATGGGTGAGGTGCTGTAACAAATAGCCCCCAACCCCAGTGGCTTCACCCAGCAATAGCAGATTTCTCTCCCCCTTCAAGTCCGTGTGGACGATGCTGGTCCAGGGATCTCCTCCAGGGAGGCACCGTCACCCAGTGATGCGGGATCCAGGCTCCTTCCATCCCTGATGACGTCATCGACACCTGTGGCCTCCAGGATCACCAGGGAAGGGGGGTGAGTGAGGGGAAGTTCACCCGTAATTAACCAGCTCAGCCCTGGGGTCCACGTCATTTGCACGCACAATGCCTTTGCCAGAAGTGCCACCGGGCCCCCCTTGGATGCCTGGGGGTCTGGGAAATGTCCCAGGCTGGGCAGCCGTCCCCCACACCAGCCCTTCCTGTGGACAGGAGTGTGAACCCATGGCCAGTGGCCGTCTCTGCCCCTCTGTGGCAGCGAAGGATGACCCCTGTCACTTTGGTCTTCTGCCTGAGACCCCTGGGCCCTGAGTCCTCTCTCTGGGCCTCTGACTGAAGCGGTGCCGGGGTCAGGAAGGCAGGAGGGAGGGGCACCGACCCTGCAAAGGGCCCCCAGTGCTGCTCCCACCCCCACTGGGGAGGGGAGAAGTTCTGGGCTGTTTGGAGCCAATCGTGTTTGGAACCTTCTGGGTGTGCTGAGCTGCTAATTCCGTGCCATCTGCCTGTGTTCTCAGCCCCAAAGCCCCGGGTAAACAAGTTTTCTTCTGTGGTTCTTAAAGAAAGTTTCGGCAGGTGGTGGGGAGAGAGGAGGGCGGCTCAGGATACCTGTTCTCCGAGGAGGAGGCGCTGCCGCCAGGGACGTCGCACGGACTGGGACGTGATGTGTACCTGCACCCCGCTAAGGGGCCTGAGTGGAGTGCACGATGTGCAGAGAGGGCCGAGCTGCTGGGGGGATGGCGTTACTGCGAATTCCTGCCTCCCCCACCAGGCTGGGGGCTGCTGGGCTGCGTCATCCTGTTCCCAATGCCCAGCCCAGGGCCTGGCACAGAGCAGGTATCAGCAAACACTTGCTGAATGAATGATTGAGTAAATGAACCAACAGTGATGAAGGGCGGGGATGGGGAGGGGTCGAAAGGGATGGGATGGGAGGCCAAGTGACCACTATGTTAACAGCTTTAATGAATTATCCTATGGTGGGGACCCTTCTAGGATGACATCATGACCCCTGCTTCCTGGGATGGCGTGGGGAGTGGTGGGGACAGGACCAGTGACTTTCTAACAGCAGAGGCGATGGAATGTGACTTCCGTGATTTGGTACAAGATTGTGCCTTCCATCTTGCTGATCGACTCTTTCTATTGCTTTCTTGGCTTGCACGCTGTGATGAAGCATGAAGCTGCTACGTGGGAGACACCCCCATGGCAAGGCACTGAAGGCCACCTCCAGCCAACAGCCACCAGGCAGGCCGGACCTGAGGCCCCTGGTCCATCAGCCCTCGAGGAAGAGTCGTGTCCACCCCTGCAGGAGCTCGGGAGCAGACCCTTCCCCAGTCGAGCCTTCAGACCACGTCCCCGCCTCGGCCACAACTTGATCGCGGCCTCGTGTGAGCCGCTGAAGCAGAGGATCCAACCAAGATGTAAATTTCACCCCCAAACCCCACAAGGAACAGGGGAGTCTGAGACTTGGAAGAATCGCTGGGATGTGCAGCACACCTTCCCCTCTGATCCGCTGGCTCTGTGGGCCCACCAGGGGGAGGAGACCCGCCAGTAACCTAAATGCAAATCGCCCTTGGCAGCAGCCGCGGCACTCCTGTGTTCCGCCAGGGGAGCATCTCCAACATGTGCAGATAAACATTCCTGTGACTGCGTGAGGTGGGAGCGGTTTAGGAAGCTATACCAGCGGCAAGGTTTTCCTTTCCCCACCCCCGTTTTTAAAGTGAAAGAGACCTCAGAATGCTACAAAGAGAGCTCCAAAGAAGGGCTTGGCAGAAACGTCACCAGGCTCTGGGGTGGGATGGAGGGGAGGTACTTGGTGGCAAGGCCTGGAAGGCCAGGAAAACAATGAGGCTCCAAGGGGATGGTCACGTGGGCCTCCTGGGGGATCCCTGCCGGGCGGGCGCTGGGGGAAGATGGCTTTGGGTCGCTCTCTGCAGAGGGATGGTAGTGCAGGAGCCCTGGCCTGGGAGTCACAATCATGGGGCTGTGGTTGGCTTGCTGGGGGGTCCCCAGGGACCGCCCAGACCCCCTCTGACCCCCAGTGTCTTCACCCACATTGCAAGGTGGGCATTTTTCTTTTTTTGTCACTCATGTAACCCAGGCCAGTAAGAACAGAGGCCCCCAGTTCCATCCAGTTCCCATCTCCCCTCTAAGTGTCTTGCAGGGTGAGAGAGCCTCAGAGGTCACCCCAGGCCCTGCCTGCAGGGACGCGGCCCCACCGTGCATCCGGCCTGCCTCGTCTTCTTGCTGGCTCTTCAAGGACAGTTGCACAGGCTGTCACTGAAATGTGCCTGGTCCGTGTGGCCTCCTGTGAGCCAGGCCCAGCTCACTGCGTTCACCCTGCATGCCGCCTCTGCATGCCAGTGGTGTCTGGCCCTGAGCTTCCCCTGTGGCTGCACAGATGACTGGCTGAAGAGCAGGGAGCGGGGCGCAGGGGAGATCCATGCTCCCTGGAGTTTCAGGATTAAGCCCTAGAGAGCCCTGAGCGTCTCCCAGAGGGATCGATGTGGATACTGATAGACACGTATCGAGCGCCTGCCACTCCTCTGATACTGTGATCTGTTTCCTGGGCATCATCTCATATCACCTTCGAATTGTTATCTCTTTCTGTGACAAGGAAACCGAGGCTCGAGGGTGTGAGGTGCCTTGCCCAAGATGACACAGCAAGGAAGTGGTTGAGCCAGAATTTGAACTAAGAGCCACGCCCTTAACCCCTCTGTCCATATCACTTCCTTTCACTGAGGTCCCCCACGACGGACCCAAGTTCTGCTTCCACCATTTTCAAGGCAGGAGCCAGTCCTCCAGATCGTGCAGGGGGCTCAGTGCTGGGTCAGGCTCTCCAGACCCCGGGACCCACCGCCACCTGAGGCCCTTTGCCTATGAGCTGGCGTGAGCCGGGTGGCCATCTGCCTGGTGATGTTAGAAAGATGCTCGGGCTGAGGAGGAGGCATCAGAGGGTGGCTGAGGGGCTGCCGTGGGTGCTGCTCGTATAGACAGAACCCCCCCTGTTCACCAGCATTTGAGCTGCCCCCTCTTCTCCCACCAGATGGAACAGTGCTGCCTAATTGGTCAACTCTGCTGGAGGAGAACCTGAGAGGTGATGCGGGATTGGTTTGTGTGGAGCCCCGGGCCCTGGGGAGGGGCCGGAAGTCAGCCCTGTCCTGCAGCCAGAAGGTGGAGCAGGTGGGAACGGAGCCCCTCTCTTCGCAGACACTTCACAGAAGGTGAGGGAAGCGTGCCGTCAGGGGGCGCTCACCTTCAGCACAGGAGGCAGAGAAGGGCTTTCAACACTCAGCCTCACAGATACTCACATTGTCTCAGAAAATGCGAGTATTTTTCTTCTTTTTTTTTCTCTCCCCTTTTGTCTGCTGTCAGATGCTCAGGGAACAGCGCCGGGAGAGAGAAAGGGCTGACATGCAGGGAAAACTCATTTTGGAGGTTTCGATCCAGTTCCAGCTGAGCAGAGCCGAGCTGCGGGGGCAGGACGGGCAGGGGGCGGCGGGCAGGGCCGGTGGCCTCGGGGCTGAGCTGAAGGAGGGGGCTGGAGGACGGGCAGCTCTGGCAGGGGTGGGCAGGGGAAGGGAGGTGACAGACACTCAGGCAGAACTGCCCTTAAATCAGGTAATGGGGCCCCTGTGATTCAGAGGACGCCCCGCCCCCAGCCCACAGGGGAGGACTCTGCAGGCCCAGGGAAGGGGACCCCTTTAGACCTCACCCTGGGACCTGGGAATCCTCTGCCCAAATGGCCCTGTCCCCATGAGCTGTCTGCCCCGAGAGCCCAGGTCTGGGCTCCCGAGTAACCCCCCGGGGTGACCACCACCCCCTACCCCTGAGTGTGAACACAGCCCAGGCCCAAGGGGCAGCTGAGGGGAAGCTTTTGCACTGAGGTGTCACCAAGTCTCCAGTCAAATTAAGCCCCGCCCCCAGTACTGTGAAGTCTCTGCTTTAGTCCCCACAGGCAGGGACCACGCTGCTTGGTTCTCTCTCCTCCTCCAAACTTAACACGGGCCTGGCTCCAAGTGGGGACCCCGGGAGGGCTTGCTCGGGGGTCCTCAGAGAGGGGCAGAGGCTCTCCAGAGGGCACACAGCAATGGGATGGACAGAAACCTCTCTGTCCAGGCCTCAGTTGGCTCAGTGCCCTCCAGCCGGAGCTGGGTCCCCATCAGAGAGCGTCCAGTGGCTTTCAGGGACCCTCAGGGAGATCCATGGATGAGAACCAAGGTGCGACTGATTTGAACGATATTAGCACGAAGCAGTGCCCCTCCGCGCCATCGGCCGCAGGGAGCCTCTGTGGTGGGAGCTTCCAAGGAGTAGGGCTGGGGGTGCGGGGAGCAGGCAGCTGGATCCAGCACCACGTGAGTTCTACTCGGTGGGCCCTCTCTGTGTCTCTCAGAGGGTCCCCCAGTCCCACTGCCCCCCTCACCTCTCTCTCCTGGGAGCTGCAGCGGCCTCCACCTGGCCCCCAGGCATCTGAGGAAGTCCAGGTCTCTCCTCCTGGGGTGCTCCCTGCGCGCGGCTGCAGGGAGAGCAGAAGGAGGGGCCCCGGCTTCCGGGTCAGGCGCTGGGCTCACCCACAGACTCAGAGCCTCATCATCCTGCTAGTTCCTTTTCGTTTGAAAATACATGAGCAGCTGTCACCATTATTGGGGGTGGTAGCATCTTAAGCCAGCGCTGTTACTGAACCAGTCCCCTGTGGCCCGTGTGGGAAGCACGCAGGGTTCTGCCGGGAGGGAATCGAGTGGGATGAGGAAGCGTGAAGGCCCTGGAGCCAGCTCAGCCCCACTGAGACCCGGAGCCCCCGCTCAGAGTCACACTCTCCTCAGTGGACAGTGGAGCTAATAGTCCCTGCCCACAGGCCAGGGGAGGATTTGGCCCTCTGTGTGTCCCTCCAGACCCACCCTCCCTCTCTCCCCTGCTCTGTGCCCTGGAGACTGACCTGCAGGGGCGGCATCGACAGGCCCCTGTGCTTCCTGGGCCTCTGGCTTCTGTTGGGGCCTGGAGGCAGCAGAGGAGACCGGGGGCGGGAGGGGAGAGGTCAGGTGTTGGTTCCCCAGCTCCTCCTGCTGAGCCTCGGTCGGTCGAGAGTGACCCATCTCCCTCCCGTGGCCCCAGCTCCAGGAGGCAGCCCCTCTGCCGCCCCTCTGCCATGGCTGCAGCTCTCTCTGGGGTCTGGTAACCGCTCCCTCCTTTGGCCCCTTGAGGACTGGGATGGACACGGACCGCCATGGTGGCTTGCCCCCAGGTGCCCCGTGGTCCCCTATTGGTGTCCTGTATCCTGCCCACACCTTGGGGATCATCCCTCCATTAAAAGCTCCTCAGTTACCCCCTCTCGTGTCTGTTCCCTGCGGAGACACTGACCAGTACTCCAAGAAAAAGGTTTGGATTTTCTTTGAATTTCATAGGAAGAATGAAGCGGGCATGCGTGGGAGCCAGGAGCCGCTCTGAGCCTCGGGGAAGAGAAGCCTTGAGCAGGGACGTCAGGAGACCAAGAAAGTCCTACAATTCTGAGCAGCCTGCGGATCTCTGAGGCACTGAGCCAGCAGCCATCATCCTTCTCTCTCCGTCTAAATTGTTTCAGCACCACACACCCTAAGGCGCGGGGAGGGGCATGGAGCTGGGCAGCGACTTCCTTTGAGCAGGCCCAGTTGAGTCCCTGGTCCTGGCCTGTGTGCCCCCTGCCTGCAGCCCTGAGCCAGGAAGTAGGTGGAGTTGGGTGGCACTTCCTGGCGTGAAAGCCAGGAAGTTCAAGCGTCTTTTCCCAATTGGCCAGTTTTGAGCGGAGGAGGATTAGCTGTGGGATGCTGGGCAAGTCACTTAACCTCTGTGAGCCTTACTTTCTTCATCTGGGAAATGAGCTGACAGCTGCCTCCTCGGCTGGTGTGAGCCCTGAGTGATGACACATGTGGGGGCCAGGTGCTGTGCCTGGCCCTCAGCAGGTGCTCCCATGGTGAGCCTCATCCCCACCGTGGAGAGCTCGGCACTGACAGTTCTCCCCGAAGCCAGCCCCTGCGTCATTCTGCTTTCAATGTTCCCACATCTGCCCCCTTTCCCCCATTGGGACAGTCAAGGCATTGGGCACATGGCCACCAAGGCCCTTTGCAGCTTGGACAGTGGGGGCCCCTTACTCCTTTCCTGAGCCACAGCCTCATGCCCGACTCTAACCACTGCACCCCCAGCCCCGTGAGCCTGTCAGCTGCGTTCAGGAGACCCTGAGCCTCCCTACTGACCCAGAGCTGCAGGAGAACAGACCCACCACCGACTGCAGACCTCCTGTGTCCGGGCCCTGGGCTCGCAGAGAACAGATGCGCCCTGTTCCCTCTGAGGTTGTGTCAGCAGGAGGGAAGCAGGCACCGCGAGGAGGGACCCTGGACACGCCAGGCCGGCCCTGGGAGCAGGAGACCCAGGAATAGACACGGCAGGTGCGCATGTGCGCGCTGAGTGGGCGACAGTCTCGGTTCTTCAGCCTGTCAGCACCGGGAATAATTAGAATCCTAAAGAGGCCTCGTTATTGCTCCCAGGACCGTGGCGCCCTTTGGAAAAAGGATGTTTCCTGCCAGATCGTCCCCTGAAGATGCGTTTGTCACCAGCTGTCGTGTAAATCCATGTTTGGCCTGTTTTAAAAGATGTGATTTATCCACATGACTGGCCTTCACGCCCCTTCTCCAAACTCTCAAGACGAGGCTGCTCTCAGGAGCCCAGAGAGGAGCCGTAACACATGGCATGGCTGGGCCACCTCCTGCCTGGGCTCTGAGCTCCCTCGGTCTGCAGGGGGTCGGAGGGGAGGGGATGGGGGACGTGCTGCCCACGAGCCGCAAACACTTCAGGACGCTGGTCAGTCCTCAAGGAGGGAACGTGCGATGTCCAAGAAAGGCCAGCGTCAGGTTCACCCATCCCCCAGGCTCACTGCCGCCCTACTATGTGCTGGCCTGCGGGGCCTGGGGGTGCAGCAGCGGAGAGACGAGGTCCTGCCCCAGGAGGCGACGACTGGAGGGGGAGGCAGGAGGACAGGTGGACACGGCTTCACAAGACTATTCCAGTGGGGGAGGGGCTGGGAGAGAGTAACACAGCAGGTGTTCAAGTCTGGCTCTGGGCAGGGGAGGGCCAGTGACAGCCTTGGACTGTGGGGACAGGACGGTCTCTCTGAGAAGGGACCTTAGAGCTGAGACCTCAATGACAGGATGGAGGACGGAGCAGCTAGTCCTGCCTCAGGGGGCGGGGGAGGCTCCATGGAGGAGGGGACCCCGGATCTACTCCTGAGGATGCTTGGAATGCACCAGGTGGAGAGAGGAAGAGAATCCAGACGAGGAGACAGGAGCAAAGGCCCAGAGCGGTGCAGGTCGCATCCTGTTGGGGAATGTGTACGTGGTCGGAAGTGGGGCTGGAAGTGCCCTGGGGCTGCATGTGACAGACCTGAGAGCTGTGCTAAAGAGATGGGGCGCCACCCTAAGGGAGGGGATCTTCCGAAATGTTTAAGCAGCACGGAGCCGCCCCTCTGAGGAGCATGCGCTCTGACGCCTGAGGCCCCTCCAGCACTGGGTCTCAGTGAGCCGGACCCGCAGAGACTGTTGGCTTGAGCCCAGTGAAAGCTGGACGCTAATGGACTTGTGCTCAAATAGACTGACTGTCGTGAAATCCTGGGGGTCACAGAGATCAGAGCGGGTGGGGGAGACCCGAGCCTCGGTGACCAAGGCTCCCTCCCATGGGGACCTCAGTGCAGGGACACAGCCAAGGGCGGGAATTTCCACCCTCCGCCAGACAGCCTCCTGGCGCAGCTCTGCCCACCCACCTGGAGTGCCTGCAGCCCCCGGACCCCGCTGCTCCCGCCCTGACTCCTCACCCAGCACCCCGGGAGCAGCCCCAGGAGGCCAGCCCCAAATAGCCAGCCCCGAAGCAGGTCAGCCCTCCTCCCCTTCTGTTTCAGGTCAGCCCAGCCAGGCCTCCCCTGGGGAGCGGCAGGCTCTCATTTCTCTCCCGGGCTCACTAAATTGGCAGGACCCTGTGACTCTCCCAGCAGGCGACACAGGGAAAAGTTTTCCGGGATTTCAAGCCCTTTGATGGAGAAAGTCTGCCTAATAAATCATTGAGAGGCGCCTCGGCTTCCCGAGAACTGTGACGGGCAAGGAAGGTGCCCCGTTCCCCCAACCAAGGCCGAGCGTTGGGAGTGTCGGAGGGCTCCGGCGCAGCTGAGGAAAAGCCTCTGCTTGAAGGTGAGTCGGGAAAGGAGTGCAGGAGGGCTGAGCAGAAGGAGGCTGGAGGTGCCAGGGGCGGCCGGGCAGGGGGACACCTGCTTCAGGTAGGGATGCAATCGGTGCCAGATTCTGAGAGCCATGCTCAGTGTCAAGCACCTCATGATCAGGATCTCATTCATCCCTGGATGACCCCATGTAGTGGCTCCTCTCACTGGATCCCCATTGGACAGATGAGGAAACTGAGACATGGGTAAGCCAAGCCTTCACCTGAGGCCTCCGTCGGTGAGGGCCTGGACCCTGGGCTGTCAGCTGCAGCTGCACACTCTTCACCTCTCTGCTCACCTGGCGGGAATCAGACACCAGCAGGATCCTGGAGTGTCAGAACTTTAAAGCTGTGGGATGTGGGATGAGGACCCAGAAGGCATGAGCCTGAATCCCAGCTCATTCACTGCTCTGGAAAAATGGGGATAATAACCCCAAGGGCACTGTCTATTGTGGGGGTCAAAAGGGCCCATGAGTGTGACACATGGAGCGCAGGGTCCTGCATAAAATAGATCCCCAGTGAATTCCCAGGGATGCTTACGATAGTGCTGGCTGCTCCAAGAAACCAACCCCAAAATGTATCATGGCTCCAGTGCAACCAAAGTCCTATGTAAACCCCAAGGCAGGTGTCCTTGACTGATGGGTGCCGCAAGATGGCAGGGGGTAGGACCAGGATAGCTCTTTCGGGGAGGCACCCGCCAATCAACATTGGATTACTGTCTTGCTAGCCTACTCTCTCTATTGCCTGCTTGTTTTGCACGCTTTACTGCAGCAAGCTGCTGTGTGGGAGAGGCCCCCAGGGCAAGGAGCAGAGGGCAGCTGGTTCTCTGCCAGCGTGAGGCTGGCAAAGAGGTGAGGAGCTCATAGGAGGTCCTCAACGGCCGGAAATGGCTGTGACACATCACTTCTTCTCACATTCTATTGGCTGGAGTGCAGTCACGTGGTCCCACCTACCCGCCAAGGAGTCTGGGAAATGTAGTCTTGCTGTGTGCCTAGGAAAAAGAATCATGTTTGGTGAACAGCTGGACAGCCTCTGCCACACCTGGAGAGGTGAAACGATGCCCTGGGAGACCCAGCAGGTTGATAGCGGAGCCGTCCTTAGAGCCCAGCTCCCGGGGGATGCACCATGACCCCAGGCTCTTCCCTCTACACGTCACGCCAGAGTGAGGCAGAGTCACAGGACCGGCCAGTGGACCTGAGACGAAGGGCCGCCCGAAGACGGATAAGAGAGGCTACAGGTGGTCAACACGTTGTCTCTGTTGCCTGGAGGAATCATGGGGTGGGGTGGGGGGTGCAGAGAGCTGCAGCTCCAGGGCTCTTGGCTGTGAAGTTGACCCAGACGAAGAGCTGCCTCAGGGGCCCCTTGCCATCAGTTTCTTCACCGGTCAAATGAGGCTGCAGTAAGGGGATCCATCACATGGGGTGGTTTGAGGGTGAAGCGAGGTCTTTGATGCCCTCATAACCTTCCTCCCCCGTTTTTCTCGGGGTCCTGCTCCTCTGCTGGGCATGTGACATGCTGAAGCTTTGGCACTTTGGATAATATTAGTTCAAGGGCTGCCTCCCTCCCAGGGGTGCTGGAGCACAACGAGAAGTCTGTGGGCAAGGACAATGATCATACAGGTCACTGATGTCAAATTCCTCCTGTCGGACAGATGAGGACAGTGACACTTGGACATGGGCTGCCTCAAATATATGTGTAACTCCAACCCAGAAACCCCATCTCTAGGACTTTAACCCTTAGAAACAATCAGAGATATATGTGGAGAATTAATATACAGGATGTTGCTTGTAATAGCTAACAATTGGATGTAATTTATACACATTAACACAGGAGTTAGGTAAAGTTATTCATCGTACATCCATCCATTCAATGGAAACCGTGGCACAGGGAAGGGTGTGGAACAGGGGCCCCAGTAATTTAACCCACCATCCGCCATCCACAGATTATTGCTGTGGTCAGGTCACAGTGTGCAATGGCTGAACACACTGTGTGCAGGTTACAAATAACGTTATTCCTCCACTGATTTTTAAAAGTAATTATTATTGTTTTTTGAGTTGAGGAATATTAGCCCTGAGCTAACATCTATTGCCAATCCACTCTTCCCCTTTTTGCTTGAGGAAGACTGTTCCTGAGCTAACATCCGTGCCCATCTTCCTCTAGTTTGTATGTGGGTCACACATGGCTGGATGAGCAGTGTGTAGGTCTGCGCCTGGGATCTGAACCTGCGAACCTGGGCCGCTGAAGCAGAGCACACGAACTTAACCACTACACCAGCAGACCAGCCCCCAAAGTAATTCTTTTGAAATTATAGTACTAATGAGAGGAGATCAGAATTACCATAATCCCATTGTCCACAGGTGGCCTGTTACGATTTGGCTACATTTCCTTGCAGGATACACATCTGTGTGCACGCTCGAGCAAACATGGGTGCAGATCTGTGCAAAGCAGCGGAATACTTTATTCGGTTTTGTGTCTCACCTTTTTCATTTAGTCTCATTTTATGAGCTTTAGCTTGTGTTATTCAATATTCCTTAAAGACAGGCTTTTCAGAGATGTGCAATAATTCACTCTGAAGACGCGGGGTAACTAGCTAGACGGTCCCTATGGTTATCTCCTTAGCCTCTTCCAGACTTTATTCCGTTACAATCAACACCATCACGACATCATGGAGGCAGGAAGAGCCCACATTACTGAGTCTTTTCAGACGCCTGCCTCTGTGATAAGCGCCTTCCATGCACGACCTCACAGGAGCCTCAAGTTTCCTTCCCCAGCAGGTAGTGTTACAGTCCCCATTTACAGATGAGGAAACCAGGGTTCAGAGACAACAGGAGTTTTCTCAGGGTCACACAGCAGCTATTGAATTGGTGGATCCAAGATGAAAACCCAGATATGATTCATTATAAAGCCCATGGTCTTAACCACTCAGCTGATCTCCCTTTTCATGTACCTCCCTGATGATTCCTTTGAGATTCATTTCTAGAAGTGAGATGAGTGGGTTTGCACACTTTAAGGGTCTCAAGGCATATTGCCAACACAGCTTCCAGAAAGGAGATGTCAATTCAAGCTATGACCAACAGCCTATTCGTTCACAGTGTTAACTGTGTGCTGGGCACCGTTGTAGGTGCTGAAGACACGGTGATGGACAATCAGACATGACTCCTGCATTCCTGGGGTTCAAGGGGTCCCTACTCCCATGGCAGGGGACAGGCTCTGAAGAGGGAACATCATACTTTCTGTTAAATAAACAAAACAGGGTTGCGAGAGTGACCAGGATGGGGCATGGGGCTGGGTGGGAAGGGGTCCCCATGTTAGGTAGGATTATCTTGGAGGCCTTCTCAGAGGAAGCGGCCTTGAGCTGAGCCCTGAATGACCAGAGGGGGAAATTGGGGGAAGAGGTTCCAGCAGGAGATATAGCAAATGTAGAGTCACCAAGGTGGGACCGAGTCCCACAGTCAGAGGAACAGGGAGCAGGCGGGCATGTCTGCAGCGTGGTGAGTGAGGGGAGGGCAGGGAGGGGGCCAGAGGGGCAGGGCAGGGCAGGGAGGCCTTGCGGACCACGCAGAGGTGGTTTCATTCCAAGTGCGGTAGGAAGCCCTGGGAGGCAGCTGCTCCAGGTGTCATGTGTCTGAAAATGATATCACTTGGGGCATCCTCTTTAAGAAAAAGACATAAAATGAGGAATCAAAATTAGCTATGCAATTTAGTATTTATTTAGAATGAGCAAAGAAATCATAAAAAAAAATTTGCAGATTTCAAAAAGTGAACAATTACCAAAAACATCACAAAATTGAGGAAAATCAGACTATGTTTGTTACTTAGCATCCTGACACACCTTCGTGGCTTTCTTTCTCCGCTGAATTCTTTAGGCTGCGTTTTCTCTATTCAGGTCTTTCTAAGACGATGATTTTGTAGCATCTTCTTCTGCGGAGAGAATAGAGAGTTAATTCAGGCTTTCCTCCAGCTGAGCCAGATAAAAATGGTTTTCTGCTATTATAGGTTTGAAGTTTTTCACACCTTTACATTTCATTATGGATTATGCCATGCAAATTTTCAGGATTGTTGTCAAATTGGGGAAATGCCCTGTCAAGTTTCTTTTCTATCTGAGCAGTAAGATTTCAGGGCATAGCAAGTTTTCCTTACAGGTTCTAATCCTCATTAATCTCTGGATTGACAATGCTCATTAACCACATTGCTTGGGGCCCACTCGGGGCCTTAGAAGGGGCTCTGGAGAGTGAGGGTCCCTGAAGCTTAAGCTCCTTCAGCCTCTGGTGAAGCCATCTCTGTCTGGAGGGGTCACGCAGGGGAGGGAGATGGTTGAACCACTGGGGCTGCTGAGCAGAGACTAGCAGAGAGGGAGGGAGCAAGCAGAGGCCACGGAGGCGCTCAGGGCAGGCTCCAGGCGAGCAATGGTGGAGGTAGACAGATCCTGGGATTGTGGCCAAGGAGAAGGGAGGCCTCAGGGATGATCCGGATTGGGTCTGTTGCTTGATTTCTCTCTTTCTCCCATGTTCTCTGGGAACTGAGGTCTAGGCAGGCCCCCCTCCCCCAGCACCATCGCCCCTCACGCAGAACCGGAGCCTCCCCACCTGCCACAGTGCGTACAAATGGAGGAGCCAGCAGGGACGGCTTTCTGACTCAAGATATGTGATGAGATGCTGAGCAGATGAAGGCAGGTTGGCCTCCTCATGGGCTCGAATGGGGACTCACGGAGGGACCCAGGCCACAGCAGATGCGGAGGAGAGGGCTCATCCTGCTCACGAGGGAGAGAAATACTGCTGGCGCACGAGGACCGCGGCTCTGGATGGTAACACCCAGCCGTCAGTCGTTGCTCTGCCAGCTGCAGACCGACAGCCGGAG